GCTTCATGTACACCGTTCGAAAAATTCATGTAAATTTCTGCGAGATATAGCGCACATAAAATTAACGCTAGATTTGGCATAAATTTACGCGATATTTCGTGTAAATTTAAGCGCAATATCGCATAAATAAGCAATATTGTATGCAAGCTTGTAAACGATTTCACTGTTTACGTTAAATATAGCTCAACATTAAACGAAGGGAAATTTTAAGCGATAGATAAAATTCAGAAATTTTTTCTGTGTACTCTCACATGTTATGAGCTGCCATAATAACATAAAATAAATTATTAACTTATTAACATTGTTTTTCTACACTTAATTTTGTATGACTACTTTTTGCTCGTTCCACCCTTTATAACTAACCACGCACGTAAAGGACTAGGGTTTCCAATGTTTACTGTTGTGATTGGATCGTAGTCTTGATAAAGAATTATTAGTAATTATAGCAAGTTATTCAATTTCTCCGTTGAGCTTACTCCGATCCGTGATGATAAAACACACATTTATATAATTTTTAATGAATTTGAAACGACACAAAAAAACAGGGCTGTGGAGTCGGGTCTGAGTCGGTGGCATTTTTGGTAATTTCCAGGCTCGGAGTCACAGTAAATGGTGTTTTTTTTTATCGATGGTGAAAGAATACCTTTGATTTGGACATCAGATCAAGGGGTAAGTCACTCACATGGTGCCGTTATCATCTCTCTTGGAGAGGGATGGTGAGGGGTATAGGGTATCATTGTACTTCCCACACAATTATACTAATGCAATCATGAAGCTCGTAACCCCGAGAATTGTCAAAGTTTCAAGAGTTTTTCTTAAGTGCCACAAGTATCCAATGCAGTAACTTCCAGAGCTGAAGAAAGCTTCGGAAGAATTATAACTCTTCAAATAAAAAAAAACTGCCGAAACAAACATTTCCTGGAGCACTCGACGAGTCTCTGCTAGTTCTCAATGTTTTGGAAGTTTCAAATATTCTAAATGTGCTGAAGTTTATAGGAATGTTTGGTGCTAGGAGCTCCGGCAGTTCTTCAATCTTTGGATCAAAGATCAAGATTGTTTGATGTTCCAGAAGCTCCCAACGCTGCTGAAGTACTGGAGTTCCCAGAATTTGCTGGAATTTCAAAAGATCTGGCAGTTTTGGGGTATTCGAGAGTTTAGGAAATTTTAAAGTTGTCGGTGTTTTCGAAGTTTTCGTAGTTTGGAGAGTTCTCAGAGTTTCGGGACTTCCAACGGTTTCGAAAGTTATCGGTGGTTCAGCATTAGGTTGCTTCATTTTGATAAAATGGCCACCCCATGTGCAAAAAATGGTAAATATTGAAGAAGGTTTGGAGGTCGCACAAATTATTTGAAATTTGTATGGGAATTAGGGGTAAGAGGGGCATAGTTAACAGGTGGGGCATAGTGAGCATGCCGCACTTCAGCCCCAAACCACTAATTGTTCGAAACAAATTAATTGGTAGTAACGTATGCATTCAAAAAATGGACTGATTTTAGTGATTTTTCATGCAATTACCTTGTCACCTGGTGGTGAATTCACCTATGCATCGCGAATCTTAGCAACCCTGTTGGGTACAGAAAAAAATTGACATCATTTCGGCCTACGGTGCTGCGCGACCGTAAAGTGCAGCAGAAGCTGAAGAGGCAGACCGAGGTCAAGGTGGCCTCATCGTTCCGCGCCTTGGGCCGGGAGGTCGGAGCAACCGGCCAAACGGCGATGAAGTTCCTTGGCAAGATAGACATTGTTATGCGGAAGTGTCAGTCGAGGCCGGCCGTGTCTTCTGAGCAGCAGACTATAACCCAGAAGGATCAGCTGAAGGTGCTGGTGAAAAACAAAAAAAATCCAACCCTCCCAACGTCCCCCAACTGCGATCGATAGAGCACCAGAGGATCTAACGGGTGTTCAATAAAAAAATGAGAATTTTTTCAGTCATATAGCTAGTAAAACAATTTTTTTTTCAACGAATTCAGTATTTTTTATTTAAAACATAATGTTTGTTCTTCAAAAAACGTCAATGAATATTGGAGAAGGGGCCCTGGTCAGCCGTACGACGCAACTTAGTCGCGATGCTCTCACAAGAGCGCTGGACGGCACTGAAATCATTCTAATTTTATATTGAACACCCGTTATTACAATAATGTTGTGCCAAAACGGAGAGCCAAGGCCACAAAAGAGCTGAAGAACATGCCGACATCCATCATTTCATCGGCCACGGCTAAGGTTCCGGCCAGCTGCCGTAGGGTGTCAAAGCATTTTTGTAGAAGAGTTAATAAACGCAGGATTCACGGCAAATTTGTTCCATTGAATTACCTGGTGTAGTTTTTTTTTCATCGCCATCCGGAATTAGTCCATTTTTAATGCATACGTTAGATTCAATATCACCATTGCTATGATTAATGACCAATTTATTTGTATAGAACCAATCACTTATATCGCTCGAACTTGTAACATGTCCAAATGATGAACAAATTTAATATGTTGTTGCTATGGCAATTTCCAAAAAGTATAATGTTGCTACGATCAGTTATGCATCATATCAAGAAAGATAGAAATGCAAAAAAACTGACGAAAAAGGATAAACTGACAGATGAATATATGAAAGACTAAAACGCCAATTTGATCACAACAACAACAACAACATTGTCATGACAATCACTTGCTATTTTTTTTAATCGTTTGGTTAACTACAACCAAAGATAGAGCAATATATATGAAAATCAATAATTTTGAAATCTTCATACAAACTTCACACCATTTGCGCGACCTCTAAACCTTCATCAATCTTTACCATTTTTTGTATTGGTTCATATTTTGGGGTTATGAATCGAACTCGAGGGTGGCATATCAGAAATTTATCACTTTTTTTTTCAAAATGAAGCCCCTATTCAGCATATCCCGGAGTTCACTAATTTATTTAGTTCAAGCTTCGGAAACTTCTGGAATTTAGCAGCATTGACCGGTGAAGTACAGATATATCCATGAAGCTTTGAAGGTAAGTCCAGCGGACCTTAAGAATGTGTTAAGAAGAGATTGTTTTAATTCCCTGGAAATGTATACAGGAATTCAAATTTTAAGAACGGATCTGGAGACTTTGGAACAGGTCCACCGAGGATTGGGTAAACCTGATGAACTTCAGGAGGGGATCTGGTCCGAAGGACATCAACGACAGGTTTAAGGGTTCCAAGGTTCAGAGAACTTCCAGGACAAACCTAGTTCATTTGAACTACAAGACCAACGAACTTGTAAGGCTGGTTTTTGATATATTTTATTGATTACTTTGAAGGTATGAGAACGGGTTTTGACGTATATATTCAGGAGATGTTGAAATGGATTTAAGAGGAGATTTCGATCGAGCGCTTATATTGCTCGGTTCAAGGGCAGATTCAGATGTTTTGGAGAGCTTTGGTGTGATACGAAGGGGGCCAAATCGGAAGTGGCGGGTTAAATTACCGATCCGGTCTAGAAAATCATTCGGGTTGGAAATTTTATCAACTTCCCTGAGCAAGCTCTCATAGCTATGAAAGTGCTTCAAGAACACTCAGTTGAAAGCAGGCCAGGAAAAAATAATTATCAGATACGTGTCTTTGAAAATGGGTTTGATGATCAGTTCTGAAAATCTTAGAGAGAGCATGATGGAGTAACTTGAAGAGCATATCAGTGGAATAAAGGGAATTAGTTCTTGATCACCGAATCTTCTGAATTTCTGTTAGACTTTCCATTAAGTCATAAAAATCTCCCTATTGGACTGCTGGACTCTAAAAAAACAATTCAATTGCCTCAACTTTGTATGACAAAGCGTCTGATCCTGTAGACAAATTCTTAAAAAAAAAATATTCCGTGCAGCTCATCTCTGTTCCAAGCATAAACTGCCTTCCATCAAGGGAAAACAATTTTAAAATAAAAGAATGAACAGGGAACTCATCCACGTGAACGTGATAAGTTACTGATTGGTCCTGAGTAGTGCCACTCTTGAACAAAGCACACTTATACGTAATCCTCTGCAAACCAACTGCTCTAGCGCTGGTTTGGCTTTCTTCCCACAGCGGCAGTAAAAGCACTTCACAAATCAGCTCCCTAGTTTCTACGCCATAGGATGCACTCGAAGTCGAAGGTACTAGTCAGTGCTCTGCAACTGCAAACACAGCAACAATGAACCCACAGCCCATCCCCACTGAATCCCACCGGAATGAATAAAACAAATCGTTGCATCATCAGATTCCTAAATGGCAAAAGAAGCTCGCCATCGTCAGTCACGAAATGATCACTCCCCACCCTAGCCACCCTCTTTTCACTCGACGGAGGGTAACGATTTGTGGAACATTGTCACAACACTCTCTGCACTAACCCAGTCAGTGATTGCGTGCAGCAGGATGGGCAAAAACTGCGCAACCGAACTGAATTCGGTTCGTTTATTTACCAATCCACAGGACCTTGTTGCATGTCGAGTTGGAAAATATTTTCAATTTCCATCCAACCATCCACCCACATCACCGTTCGATGCACAACGATGTTACTAATAGCAGCATGCGCTCAATCCACCCGGATGACTCTATATATCAAATCATCTGTCATCATTATCGGGCTTATCGGGGCGGAAGTAGCAAAATCAAGCACTCTTAAAGAGCTCACATGGCACGACCTTGGCTCTTCCGGTTGCAATAGGGTTGCCAGATGCTGCAAGTTTTATATTTTTAATACGATATTGTGTTTGGTAGCCCTAATCCCAATCATAAGACTGGCAATTTTTGCCAGGCGATTTTGCCACGAATGCATGTGATGGCGCAATTTTCCCTATGATTCTCGAAATGGGAACGCGATGCGCTCCCGGGTCTGCAATCTGTTCCGCAACATTGGCTGGTTGGTGGAATTCACGATTAAGGAGACGACAACGATGACGGTAACGTGTGCATATGTTATCACACAGTAGGACAACGAACAAGCGAACGAACGAGTCGGGTTTATAACTATTATTATCATCGTCATCATCATGGACGTACGTTACCTCATCGGCGGGATCGTAGTACTGCTCGAGGTACGGGTGCGCCAGGGCTTCCTCGACCGAAATTCGATTATGCGGGTTGAAGGTGAGCATCTTGCCGAGCAGGTCCAGTGCGTTCTGATCGGCATTGGGGAACAACCGGGACCACGGGACCTTCGGTTTGTACGGCAGCGACTGCAGGTAGCTGCGGGCCTTCTCGTTGATTATGCACTCCAGATCCTCCTGCGAGGGCGAACCGAGCACGCCCAGAATGTGGTTCAACTGGTCCAGGTAGTGCTTGCCGGGAAAGATGGGCCGGTTGCTGAGCATCTCGGCCAGTATGCAACCCACCGACCAGATGTCGATGGACTTGGTGTATCCCTGTGGGGATGGGCAAAAAACGATGCGATTATTAACAGGTAATTCAATGTTCAAATGTCATACGGTCGTACCTTGGAATTGAGCATGATTTCCGGTGCACGGTACCATCTGGTGGCGACGTACTCCGTCAGGAAGCCGGTGTGGTCATGCTCCGGGTCAGCTACTCGTGCGAGACCGAAATCACAAATCTGTTGAAGAAAAAAAAACAAAGTTGATAATGAGCAACCGTTGCGTCACATAGCACCGTGTTTGAATTTACGTTGGCTGGTGGAATAGTGAGTAATAATCTGCTGTGTACAGTGTGCTTCAGCGTTAGGATGATTGGATGATTCATTAGAATGGTTCCACACTGCTTTCTAGCTTTATTATCTCCAGCTAAGTGGAATGTGATGACCTAAGCAGTGGCGAGGATACCAGTAGCCCGGATAGCTCAGTCGGTAGAGCGTTGGACTTTTAATCCAACGGTCTAGGGTTCAAGTCCCTATCCGGGCGAATTTTTTTACCTTTCTCGTACGTCGTAGGTCATGTTACAGGTGACTGAAACGAACATCTGTAACGTCACAATTCCAGTGTGAACTGTATAAAAGGCGTGACTGGATTTTGTTATTTTTTACCATTGAGATTGTTCTCACATTGTTGCCATATAAATGGTTAACCACGTAGCAGATAATCATAAATCAAAGCTATTAAAAAATTGAACGACAATATTAAAAAATATTAAAATTATCAATCACGTCTTTTTCGGAATTCAAGCCAGAATCTCTCGTTTGTTTACAGACTATGAGCTGTCAGCGGGGTCCATAATTCATGAGCCCGCAGCGATGTTAGCTCTTGTCAAGGCAAGCTAAATAAGATAAGGGTGCCACCTAGCTGCTATGATATCATTTTAAAAATGTATTTTCGATCTAGGGCAAGAAGGGTCAAGTAGTGTAATATACCAATCGACTCAGCTCAACGAGCTCGCAAAATGTATGTATGTTGTGTATGCATGTGTGTAGCTCACAGCTATTTTCTGGGTGATGACAGAACCGACTTGAGTGGAGCTAGTTCCAGTTTGTGTGTTTCTGGTTCGCATAGAATGTTATTAAAACCCCCAGTTAGGTGGCCAGACTCTGACAAGAGACAAAACCCATCATACGACACATCAAATCACATGAGAAGGCAAAATCAAAATTATTGGCGGTTAGATGAACTTTCCAAGACCATATTGGCCACATACGGAAACGTTCCAGGTACCACCGGGAATGTGAGTAGTATTTGAATTTGAGTCAAAATACATCATACGACACATTACATGGCTTCCAAATTCTAAAATAAGATCATAAGTGAGAAAGTCAAGTGTCCAGGACCACATTGGCCACATCCTGACATCTGCTGGGGGCGCTCGAGGAAACGACCAAAGTTTTTTCGGGGATGTGACATAGGTCAAAGGCTATCATCGACACTGCAGATCACAAGGTAATTAAAGTACAAGATCATTGGAGATCATGGAAAAAGCCCAGGATCACATTGGCCACACTTGGGTATCTTTGGGGAAGTGGTCAGAATCTGGCCTAAAGCTAAAGCCATCATACGACACATCAAATCAGATCGAGCATTCATGATCAAGATCTTTAGCAGGGTGGCCAGTGGCCATTTTGAAAATCCAGGTTTTTCCGTTGCAAATGTTAAAAATTTCTCGGTTGCTCATATTCAGCCAGAAAAGCAAGTGTTAAATAAATTTGGTATTTAAGAATATTTCCAAGATTCGTTTCGACATTTGCTAATAGTCTTAAACTACGACATACTTTCTAGATTTATGAATTATAAAAATCTTCGTGATCCTTAGATTAAAAACAAACAATTTTTTTTTTCCAATCTGGGATTGAGAAAATATTTAAAATATGGGATTTTGATAAAGATCAAGATCCCAGATTGCAGTCTGAGCATAACAGACCCAATTGATATAGCTTACTTTATCTGTCACTTCCTCTACTATTAGGTATTAAGGATTTTTAGAATTGATTTTAAAATAAATAAACGAACAGTAGCGAAATTACGGGATGAATCTACATTAAATTGGTAACTCTTAAGAGTTGATGAGTAGTTGAATGCCCATGGCGAAATCCAAACTGCTCATCTGCAAAAATTGAGTTCGTATTGATGTGAAGCATCATTCTATTCAAAATTATCTTTTCAAAAAGTTTACTTATTGAAGAAAGCAAACTTATTGGACGGTATCTAGAAGCTTCAGCTGGATTTTTATCCGGCTTCAAAATTGGAACAACTTTTGCATTTTTCCATTTATCAGGAAAGTATGCCAAATGGAAACATGTGTTAAATAATTTTACCAAGAAAGACAAGGTACTCTCTGGGAGTTTTTTGATGAGGATATAGAAAATTCCATCATCACCTGGAGCTTTCATATTTTGAAACTTTTTAGTTATAGACCTTACTTCGTCCAAATCAGTCCCCCAGGAATCATCAAAAATATTTTCCCGAGAGAAAATATTCAGATAATCCCGAGCAACCTGATTCTCAATAGGACTGGTAAGACCCAAACTGAAATTATGGGAACTCTGGAATTGCTTAGCAAGTTTCTGAGCTTTTTCCAAATTTGTGATCAAAATTCTACCACCTTCTTTAAGCGCTGGAATAGGCTTTTGAGGTTTTTTCAAAATTTTTGTGAGTTTCCAAAAGGGTTTGGAACTCGGGTCTAATTTAAAAACATTATTTTCAGCAGGAAGAGCATGGAAATCGGAAGTGGTTATCACAATAGGGCGAATCTTTTCCTTCTTGGCATTAAGCCGGGAAAGTTTACTAGAGTTTTTCTTGGATGATGGATCATTCTCATCATCCGTGAGCAAATCAAAATTGATTACTCAAATTAATTTCATCAGAAGGGGGGTCAAGAGTTTGCCCCTTTCTTTTGCGTTTAGGCGCCATGGCGAGAGTAAATTTTTATCCAAATCGACTTCCAAGCAGATTACTATAAGAATCTGAAGGATCGAAGAGGAATGTTCCAAATCGATATCCAAGAAGGATTACCTCGGGTAGGGTCCAAACAAGGATCGAAGAGGAATAAGCGTTGAACAAGGTAGAAATTTTTTACAGGTTGAGCACTGAAAAGTGCTGTTTAAATTTGTTGTAGCTTTAGGTAGTAGTAACACTTCCTTAAGCAAAAAGCAAATAGATCCGCACGGCAAGAGAGCACGATGCGGACTGGAAATAAAACCCATTGAATTGAACTTCTGCTCCATCGGTGGGGCAAAGGTTCAATTTGAACACTATTTTGTATAAACCGTCCTACGAATGAATTTGGCATCCTGTGTATGGCATTAGATTGATTTCAAATGCTTAGTGTATCAACTAAGGTCGAACTTTTGCTCCACCATGTCTAATGGAAGCAGCAGAGAAATTCGTCGGCGTATTATTGCCGGAATTCGTGCTTACTACGGACTTCACAAGACCCTGAGGTTGGGTAAACTTCACCTCCGTATCCTGATGAATGTGGCGTCTTAGTGGAATACCTGTATAATGAGAGAGAGAAGGATTAGTATTTCCATTTAATTCCACTACTTTATTTGCTTATCCTTGACAGATACGCGTATTTCGTCTACAATGTGCAGTACAAGACACTGAAGAAGTCTGCACATTGTAGACGAAATACGCGTATCTGTCAAGGATAAGCAAATAAAGTAGTGGAATTAAATGGAAAATACTAATCCTTCTCTCTCTCATTATTCACCTCCGTACTAAATGTACCTTGTATGAGACGCTGATAAGAGCGGTAGCTCTCTATGGGCACGAGACGTGGACGATGCTCGAGGAGGACCTGCAAGCACTGGGTGTTTTCAAACGACGAGTGCTTAGGACCATCTTTGGCGGGGTATGTGAGAACGGTGTATGGAGGCGAAGGATGAACCATGAGCTGGCGCAACTCTATGGCGAACCTTGTATCCAGAAAGTTGCGAAAGCTGGACGGGTACGATGGGTGGGACACGTTTTAAGAATACCGGACAACAATCCCGCAAAAATGGTGTTTGCCTCGAATCCGACCGGTACAAGACGAAGAGGAACACAGCGAGTAAGGTGGTTAGACCAAGTGGAGCAGGACCTTGGAAGTGTAGGACGGTCAAGAAATTGGATACAAGCAGCCACGAACCGAGTGAATTGGCGTAACATTGTGATACAGGTGCAATCCTGAGGGATGTCGGACCAGGATAATTGAAAAAAATCAAATAATCTAATGGAATTAACGAGGATGTAAAATTGCTTGTGATATGCTAAATCTTCAATACTCACCTTTAAATCACAAGTCGTATTCAGCAACAGGTTGCTCGGTTTCAGATCCCGGTGCAGCACGTTCGCCGAGTGGATGTATTTGAGACCACGCAGAATTTGGTACAGGAAATAGCAGATATGATCGTTACTAAGTCTCTGTGGAACAAGATGAGAAAATATGTGACGAATTAATAGCGGAACGGGAAACGGTACGATAGCTGAAAATAATACCATCATTAGTATTTGTAAGTGTAACGCGTTGCTTTAGTTGCCGTTGCCGCCGCTGCCAGTGCCATAAAAACGAATCCTCAAGAAAATGACACGGATTTACAAACGCGCAAAAATCGGAGGCTATGATGTTCAGTTACTTTCTATCTGCTGAAATCGGTGCACTATGGGAAGGAAGGTGGACATTAATCGAAGAACAGACCATTTCCAATTACAAATAAGTGTATAGGGGAAATGGATGTAATATCGGCCTAAATGCCCCTAATTTGGGCCCATACATAAATTCAGCAATCGGCTAAATTTTCTACAGCGACCAAAAATATCCATTAGTATCGTCCCAATGACGCGTTCATCTACATACAATTGATAAATAGCAGATTTTTTGCGATGGGCCCAATCTTAGTTCCATAGGCCAACATTAGAGCAATTTCCCCAATAATATCAAAAGCAGATACTCTAGCTAAGATAACGTCAAAATATTTCTGCCTAATTTGATGACTAGCAGAAGATACACGTTATCAAAATTATAAAAAAAAACTAAAGAATAGCGAATTTTCAAATATATTGTTCTGTTCTGCCGTAACTCCGTCAGTTTTACCACTGTCAGTAAGCCCAAAAATGTCAAAATCAATCAGTTTTACTGAGATCACAAGAGCAAAATTTGTGTTGCAGTTTTTTGACTGTTCGGTTGTCACAGTGAGTGCATTCTTCGTTTTCCGCTCTCCGCATCACGAAAAGAAGTTTCCGGTGTTCATTTTTGCCGTTCACCGCCAGATACAAACTGCTTCTATGCGCTGAGGTTAGCTGCTTGCATCTTGTCAAAAGTAGTAAGAGCTTCTTGTCGGAAATTCTCTGAATTCCTCGTCAGAAAATCTCAGGAATTCTCATTGGCAGTTCTCTGGACTTCTCGTCGGAAGATCCCTGAACTTGTCATGGGAAGTTCTCAGATTCTCTTGTTGGCAGTTCATTGCTCTTCCCAACGGCAGTACTCTGAACTTTTCGTTGGAACTTCAGGGAATTTTAGTGAAGTTCTGTGAACTTCAGGAATGTTCTGGAATGTTCTTTTTATTGGAAGTTCTGTGAGCCTCCCGTTGGATCTTCTGTGAATTTCTGTGAACTTCTTGAAACTTCTCTTCAGATCTCTGAAGTCTCTCTCTGAAGTTGTCTAAACTTTTCCATGGAACTTCCAAGAATTTCTGTGAATTTTTTGACAGAAGTTCTCTGATTTTTTTGTCGGAAGTTCTGTGAACCTCTTGTTGGAAGTTGTCTAAACTTCTCGACCGTACTGTGCTTTCTAACTTCAGAGAACTTTAATGATGTTCTATAAATTTTAGGGAAATTCAATGAAGTTCTGTGAATTTTTCGTTGGAAGTTCTGGGAAATTCAATAACCATCTCGTAGGAAATTTACTGAAATTTAAACTTCTTGATGGAATTACTCTGAATTTCTCGTCGGCACTTCCCGAAACTTTAATGAAGTTCTGTGGATTTCAGGGAAAATCTGTGAAACCTCAGGTTCTGTTCTGAGTTCTGAGAAAATTATCTTCAAAAGTTCTGCGAACTTCTAATCGGACGTTCTCTGAACCTCTCGTCAGAAGTTCTTTAATCTTTTCGTAGGAAATTCAAGGAAGTTCTGGAAATTCTCTGATTTTCGCGTTGAAAATTCCCTGATCTTCTCATCAGAAGTACTCTGATCTTCTCGTTGGAAAATCTCTGAATTTCTCATCAGAAGTACTGTGATCTGCTCGTCGGAAGTTCTCTAAACTTTTCGTTGGAACTTCAAGGAAGTTCTGTGAACTTCTCGTCGGAAGATCTCTGAACCAGATTGTTATAGATTGACTTAAGGGTGAGGTCTTGTCAGCGACTTAAGGGTGAGTGTTTTGAACTGATTGGCAAATCGCTGGGACTTGTTGAAGAGTACGCAAGAGATGCGCCACCAGACAAATGCAAGCCTGTTCGATTAATAAGACGGAGATGCTCTATAAATGAAGGTAAATGACGGGACTCAGATGGTCCGGGAGAGCTTGAAGATCCTGGGATAAATACGCCATCTAGGTCATTTCTATAAATGACCATAAATACGCCGATTGCGTATTTATCCCAGGATCTTCAAGCTCTCCCGGACCATCTGAGTCCCGTCATTTACCTTCATTTATAGAGCATCTCCGTCTTATTAATCGCACAGGCTCTTAATGAAACAGACCTGTATTGACAGGTAACGCCTCTCCTGCGTACTCTTCAACGAAAACCCAGCGATGTGCCGACCAGTCCAAAATACTCGCCCTCAAGTCCCCGGAAAACACTTACACTTACACTTACGACGGTACAATATCCAGCTGCCTCAGAAATTTATTGTTGCATTCTTCACCCAGCAACCTAAAATACATCGACATGATCAAATTTAATCACGCTTGCCGGACCGTCACCAATCACCCCAGAGTTTTATGTCTCCTGGATAGCATAACCGTTCTGGAATGTATTGGGTATGATTTTTTTTTAATTAAACTTGCTTTGTTGAACAAGATAGAAGTAGTTATTCAAAGACGGCTTCCAACGCCGACGGCAGATCCCAGAGCAGTAATGAGCAGAATATTTAGACCAACAATTGAAATAGGCGAAACAACCAAACGTAAGGAATGGCTTTAAACGCAAATTTCTCGAGAATCAAAACACACCCATGCAATCTAACACCAACACCGGACTCAATAAACTTCTTTTATTGAATGGCATTGTTAGTTCGCGTATGTGATTCTCGAGAAATTAGCTTTACGTCTAGTTGATCCTCCTATTTCAATTGTTGGTATATTACTCTTCTCACACCTTAACATTCTCTACTATGAGGGAGAGAATGGCTGCGTGCTTTCTAAGTTGGTGCTTAGTGAATGGTGTATTAAGAGTTAATCAACACAGATTTTTTTTTTCCTTTGGTTTGTTTTTTCCGTCGATCTTGTTTTCCGTGCTGAGCACCAATGCTACCGACGTGCCAGGAAGGCAGCTCCCACACCTGGACCCTACCTATCGACCCATCAACTCATGAACCGGGGACCAACGGCTTTACTTCCCATCCGAAGGAAGGCGTGATCAGAGATGTTATGCCTCAGAACATCCCGGCGGCGCCGACTGGGATTGAACCCAGGCCTGCTGGGGTGAGAGGTAATCACGCTTACCACTACACCACCGGCGCCGTTAATCTACACAGATAAAAATTCTGAATTTTAATAGTGATGTAAACATTAATTCACGTAAACTTGTATTTCATTTCACGCAACCGAGCAACTTGTAAACAATGTTGTTTACAACAATTGGCTTTCGTATACAATATTTGCTACATTGCATGAAATGTCTCAGAACTGAACATGATATATAATGTAAACTTATATGATATAGACTGTTCCAGAAAGTATAAGCACACTTTCAAATAACAAAAAAGTCATGTTTTTTAAAGTTTTAATAATTTTATTTGGCAAATCATATTTGTATTTGTATTTCAAATGAGATTTTACTCTCGTTTAATCAACATATTTAATCATAGCCAAGACTCCTAACTTTTCCTCGAACATGACCCATTAGCTTCTGCACAGTGGTATTTCCCACCATTTTGACCACTTTTGGCCAATCTTTTTTGAATTTTTGGATGTCGTCCGCTGGTTTTATTAATTTTCAAAGCTTTGCTTTGGTTAAAGCCCAAAAAGTCTCGATTGGCCGTGCGTCCGGGCAGTCCGGCGGATTCATGTCTTTCGGCACGAAACATACATTTTGACTTTTGTACAATTCTAAAGTGTCCTTTGCGTAATGATATGACGCCAAATCAGGCCAAAATACTACTTGACCTTCGTGCTGCCTGATCATAGGCAGCAATCGCTTCTGGAGACATTCCTTAACGTATTTCTGAGTGTTCATCGTCTCCGTTGCGATGTACGGACTAGATGTTTTACCACACTCGCATATTACCTGCCAAACCATAACCTTCTTACGAATTTTTCGGTAAAAACTGCCTTCTCCGTTTTGGGGATGTCTTTGCCTTCACTTACAGTATAGAATTGTGGTCAGGGAAGCGTTTTGTAATCTAGTTTCACTTACGTTTCGTCGTCCATTATTATACACCCAGAATTTCGACACAATAATGAACCGTAGAGTTTGTGGGCCCGTGGTTTCACGGACGCGGCGTGTTTTGGGTTTTTTCTGCTTCCGGTATGTTTTTAGCCCAAGTCTTTCTTTGGCACGCATGACGTTACTCGACGAGGTCTCTAGTTTTTTCGCAACATCCCGAACGGAAGTCGCTGGTTTTCGTTTGTAGGCATCCCTGATCTTTTTATCGATATCCGGACTTACAGGACCGGATTTCCGGCCACTCTTCGGCGCATCTTCAAACGTACACTGTTCTCTATATTTTTTATCGCAGTTCGTACCGCTCCGACGCTTACACCCTCTTCCTTGGCCAATTTTCGTTGTTCCGGAGTAAGACCACGCATTTTGACAGGAAACACAAAACTGAGCACTTTTTTGATGCTATGTCATTCAGAAATGAGCAAATGAAAGGACGCAGCCAAAACATGTTGAAATATTTCATTATATTCAAAGTGACCGTTAAAATAAGGAGTGCTTATTCTTTCTGGAACAGTCTATATATGACGCTCCATTTATGTGCATCATACTGAACAGAAATTTACTCTACTTTTTCGAACTGTGTAGATTTTAGAAAATCTAGATGAAACCGCGTATTATCCTCAATGGAGTTTACCGTCATTAACAGGGTGGCGAGTGAATTTTCATTTTGAAATTCCCGGTTTTTCCCGGTTCAAATCTTTAAAAATTCCCGGTTGTTAATATTCAACAAAAAAAAAACGAAATTGAACGCATTTTTAGAACTTGCTGAAAGGAATTTACTGAAAGGATAAAACAAAATGTGATTTAAGAAGATTCCCAAGA